ATATAAAATCCTTTACTTTAGATCCCGTAAATGCACCCTTGACGAGATATTCACCATGTGCCAATTTTTTGGAAATACCTCCGAAAAAAGAATAAACGCGCACCACCTCATCGTCCACTTTTTCTGAGTTTGGTATACGCGCATAAACTTATACACCACTGTAAACTGACGTTAAGCAACACCAAAAGCTCCGCCAGGACCGTAAACGACCTCTTCAAATTTTGCTACAGAACATAACAGAGAAGGTACCATCGTTTACAAGAGTCCTGGCTGGCGTATACCGATGATTTTAATATAATTTGTCTCAACAGGAACGTCCTGAGTCCTGATTTTTCCAGATTGGATAAGCAGCGAAGCGTAAAGGTCCTTTCGTAAAACACACAGTTGTCACATTCGTGACTGGGCCCTCACGTCACTGTTGACAACTATAACGTCGAAGTCGAAGATAATTTCGTTTAGGGTTAACATTAGCCTTGAAGTCCAACGCAGAGTCACTCTTTCCATCAGGTGATAAAGGTAGTAAACTTCTTGGCCTTTAAGAATGCACCTGAGGGTGGTCGTTACCTTTAAAAAAAATATCAATGTATAATGGGAATATTCACTCCGACCTTGTTAGTTCGTTAATCATTACTCGGCAGACTTTTACGTGTATTTAATATTTGCAAAATTAACAGATTAAAATTTTGGCGAGTAAAATAGTACCAGTTTAGCAAGCTGGCTTGTTTTTTTTATTTGGTAAAATAAACAATATATTTGCGTTATTAAAAAATTCAGTTAGAAATTTTGACAATTTTTAATTTTGTACTTTCTCAAGGCATTTTTACTCTTTGATGAAATTTCATCAACTGTCAACTACTGGAATAGATCAACAAGAAATTTAAAAAAAATATATTGGGAAGAACGTGATATTATTTAAATTTAATTCATAATTGTTTTATAAAGGATTCTGTGTTTTGGGTGTTACCTTATAACACGAGAACGGTTTTGCCGAATTCCACCAAAGATATGCAGCATTTTCGGATTGTCAAACAGATGATTTAGATGAACTTTCCTCGAAATCTGATATGGGGGAATGGCACCTCTTAGAATTACTTGAATATGAAAACTTTTGAGCGGTAAATTAGCCACCTGGTATCTACAATAAAATTTTAAATTTATTTTCTATAATTATTGGATGTTGGTCGAGCTAGGACTCCGATTGGAATTACGCAATGCTTACCCCTCGGCACACGCGGCCGATCACTAATCCTTTATATAAATGCAAGTGTGTTAGCTAACAACTTCGAGAACTCTATTTCCTTCTGCTTCCACCAGCGGATACCGCATGGAATACTTTGAAATCTAGTGTACTTCCATTACTTCGGACGACATGACCCATGCGGCGTAGCAGCTGTCTCTTCATTTGCTGAACTATTGTAAGTCAATATCATCGTATAGCATGTACAGCTTATCGTCCCAAGTTTTCTTTTGAAGACACCCAGGGCCGCCTCATCAGATGTTGACATCGTCCACGACTCTGCGCCATATAGTAGTACGGGTGGATAAGCGATTTGTAGAATTTTGTTTTTATTCGCCGAGAGAGGATTTTACTTTTCAATTGCCTGCTCAGTCCAAAGCAGCACCTGTTGGCAAGAGTGATTCTGTGTTGGATTCCAAGGCTGACATTATTACTGGTTCGAGGTGGTGACGTGGAAGCAAAGTCGGGAATGCTATGACCATTTGTTTGATGACAGATATTTCGGCTTGTCCTCGTTCACTACAAGACCCATTCGCTTCGCTTCATTATCAAGTCTGAAAAAAGCTGAACTAACGGCGCGGTAGTTAAAGCCTATGATATCAATATCATCCGCATATGCCAAAAGTAATACACTCTTATAGAAGATTGTACCGTGTCTATTAAGCTCAGCAGATCTTAATATTTTCTCCAGCATCAGATTAAAGCAATCAAACGATAAAAACTAAAACTGTCTGAAACCTCGTTTTTTATCGAACGGCTTGGAGAGGGCTTTCCCGATTCTGACTGCGCGTCGGGTATTTCCCAAAATTTCAAACACGGTGTATGTGGGGTTTATGGTTGACTTAGCAAGTCTAAAGACACACTGGTAAGGCCCAATCAGTTTGTTGATGGTGTTCTTTGGTCTTTCACACAATACGATTGATTGGACCTTATAAGCGATATAATTGGCGCAGGCTGCGGGATAGCCTTTTTTTGGATTGAGCAGAGCACACTTAGGTTCCGATCTTCGGGCATGCTCTAGTCCGCCCATATTTTGTAAAGAAGCTCATCAACACTATGTTGGAATAGCTCTATCGATAGGCCGTCAGCTCCAGTCGCTTCTTTGTTCTTGAAGTGGTTAATCGCTAGTCGAACATCAACATAGTCTGGTAGTGGAATGTCTTTCCATCATCATCGAATGGGATTTCGGGCTCACCACCTCCGGTTGTTCCATTTTCAGTGCCATTCAGCAGGCTGGAGAAGTGTTCCCTGCATAAATTCAATATACTCTGAGTATCGGTTACACTATCACATCTCTGAGTCCCATAAGAGTCTCCTCCGGTCTTGAAAGCTTCCATAAGTCCTCGTAATTTTTTGTAGAGTTTTTGGGCATTACCCTTATCGGCCAGCTTCGCATGCTTCTCATATTCACGCATTTCAGCCTTTATCTTTTTTTGCCTGCAAATGCTTCCCTCTTTAGATCTCGATATCTATCACACCACAACGTTGCGAGGTAGTCACTCTGGTTTCTGTCACTGCAGTACCAGTTTTTTTCATGCGGTGGATTCCTCATTTTAGCTCGCCTCCAAACTGATGTTTGTTGGCCGGAAGATGCGAGTTGCTTCAACCAAATACAAAATAATTGTGTTAGGCCACTCCCAGGTAAAAAGCAGTCAAAAGCTTTCCTCACTTTAACTCACCCGAAGTTTTACACATGGCCAAACTTGAGAACGGCTTTTCAAACCAAACCAACCAAATTTATACGGCATATTTGAGCTATTATTTATTGTAGTTGATTCTAGGGAAGTTTTGAAGAGTGGAGCAATCTACTAAAAGTTTTCGCACAGATGGCATATGAACTTTGTGAAGAAAACATTTGATTATTCTTGCCACTTATTTAGAAAATTAAATTTACAAATTCGATTGCCAAGAATTCTAAGACGAACCGTGGACCATTCGAGATTGGGTTGATATTGTTAAAAAAGCGATTTTAGAAAATATACTTTAGAAAAGGAATAAACCTTAAAAGGCAAAGCGAAATATTGAAAAGTTAATATAAAAAGTTCACACACCTGGATCCAGATAATTTATATTTAACCCTAGATGGGTAACCATTTATTTATACATTAAAGGTGACCTTAATCGATTCGACGAAGTCCTACGAAATTTCCGAATTTCTAATAAAAAATGTGTCGTATTGGCTAAATACATTTCTTTTAACAATCTGTATGTTTTGACAAAAAATTAAACGCACGGGCCATAATTTTAGAAGCTTTTGTTTATTGTTGATCGATTCGCTTTTCAGATCATTTTTTTTTTTTGTATAAATTGTTAAAAGATATTTTAGGCTTAAATTTAGTCAAACTAAAATATATATTGCTTCTCTATTATATTAAGAACACAATATATATATTTTACTTGAACTTAAAAAACCAAAAATAATTAAAAAGTTAGTTATTTGCACAAAAGACGCAAATTGCTACTTTGTGGTCCCAACATACGGGACTTTCGAATTTTTAACATACAATAATTTTTCGTTTTTGATATGGACAATATTAAAACTTTTGTTTCTTATTTGAATATTCTCAACATTATTATGAAAATAATTATTTGTAGTTTGTACAAATATATTTTCTTTAATTCTGATTTTCGAGAGTAGGAACATTCAAGCGCTGCTTCATCGATGGCTCAGCAAAACCCCAGTGTAATTGTTTTAGAAACGCGCGTTGATTTATAGGAGTCTTACTTACACTTAGATTAAAACACTTTTTTTACGTGTCGGGGCTTCCCGTTGTGCTATATTATTAACACTCTTTCGACTCTTTCTAGGCGACCAAACATATCGGTTTTTCCCACGTAGTACATTTTTAGTAAAATGAATTATATGAGAATGTTGTAAAACATTCAGTGGTACATCATCTTCTGCATCATCTGAAGCTAATTCAGCGTCTTCATTGCCATATCGTGTGCATGGGGAAAAAGACCCTTGTTGTTGGGCATGTTTGATATACTACGACCCACATGTTACTGACTCCCTAACTAACACCAGGTGAATTGTGTGGTACCTATCACCTGTCACCTTCACAGTTTAACCTACTTAAGAGCAGTACTTGACGCCGGACATAAAGAAAAGCATGCATTCACTCGCTTCAATACTAAACAAAAGAACACGTTTATATTTTATAATTGGGCACTATAATACATCGCACATATACACAAAAATTTATGTGTACATAAATAACCTATGAATGTATGTACATACGAGCAAGACTCTATGGCAATACATTTGCAGATGATTTTATAAATATTAACTCAAATATATGTATGCATTCAAGTGTTTACGAAATTACATACCCTGTAGGACAAAATACTTATAAACTATAACGCTACTACTTTTAATATTTTGCAAATGGTGAATTTTTACTTCTCAAGCCACAGTTAAAACGCATAATCACTTGGGTATAGTGATGGTATAACCAGCAACGAAAAGCTACAAACTTCATCCGTGGTGCTAATTTGTAGCTAGTGGGGTAGTGGAAATTATTATTATTTCCATCGCTCGTGAGCCGCTATATATTAACCAACATATATCGAACTATTATGATTTAATTTTTAAAATAATGATTTCGCACCAGAATTTTTACACGTCAGCTTAATTTTTCGACGCAGTATATACAGTATATTGTATATTTGTATTTATATAATGGACATACATATGTATAATGAATACAGAAAATTAAGCGTTGGCGTTTTGCTTTAAACTTTCCTGGCCTATTCATTAGGTAAAAATCATTTTCCATTGGTCTTGCCTTTAGTACACTAATTTAGTTTTCCTATGCATTTGTTCTTGCAATTGTTTTGCTTTAGAAAACGCTCGTTTTATTTTTCAAACGGTCACCTTCGCACAGTCTTTTGGTTGAAGCTATTGTAAAACTGTTTTAATTTTCATTCATAAACGCACGTTGCTAATTTCTGAATGAATAGTAGTCTAAAGAAACCATTGCTGTAAGTATTTTTTAGGGTGCGCAATTAAAATAGCTAAAAGGTAGTCGCATTGTTTTGCAAACCCGCATACTAAGGGATATTTTCAGTGCAAGTGCTATATTTTCGTCTGTGGTTTTAATACTGTAAGTTGGAATATAAAGAAGTTATAAGTCTTGCAGGTAGAACCGTTAGTTAAAAATTAAGTGAGAAAAAATAAAGTATTTTATCACATACACACATATGTATGTAAGCCATTTGTTTTCATAAATAATTAAACTATAAATAACTCATAAATAATAAAACTGAGTAATGAAATTGGGCAGTTTTAAAAATAGTTTGGGAGCTAGACAATTTGGTATTCTGAAAGCGACAACTTCAACAGAAACAGCTGTGTTAAAAATATATTTATTTATATGAAAACAGCAAATGAGTTATTTTGTTTATATCTAAAAGTAAATTAATGGTGTACCTATTATGCAACCAATAAATTATCAAACTTAAAAGGGGACTGTTTTTCTTAAACGTGTCTATAAGTATGTACGTATTATGTGTCATGTAGCTGTAATGATTTGTTTTCGGCTGGACCGATATTTCAGGATGTTCGATATCAGAAATGAATGTTCATATTTTGAAGGAAAAAATATTAATTACAATTTCAGGCAAATTTTTATGCATGGATACATATACTCGTTTATGGTCAAAGCAAAGTATGTAGTCCCTTGGTGAGATCAATTGAATTCAAATATGATTTCAAATACAAAAATAACACTATAAAAATTATCGACACCAGTAACGATATAAGTAAATAACACGAGGTTAGTCTTTAAGCATAATTATCTCTGCAACTGATATAAAAATTTATAAATAGTTAAGGTAATCTCAGAACAAAACAAGTGTCCAATAGAATATATGTAAATTATTAAAGGCTAGCTTGATTATTGCAAGTAAAAATACTAGTATGTTCGCGTTTCTGCCTACATTTTTAGAAGAAACTTCAAAATCTGTATCATAAATCAGTGGAAGAAACGCTAGTGTTAGTTAATATTTAAATATCTATACATACATATAAATGTTATACTCGTATGTGTATATAAATATACGACAAGGCTAGAACGTTTTGTATGAAACCTATTTTATTTGGTAGGTTCGGGAATAGGTTATAAAGCAAAATAATATAAGTAAATTTGTACGTCATACAGAAATTATTGTATAAGTCGGGACTTTGTCCACATATAGTGTTAACGGCCTGTCAAAAACCAGATTTGCCAACCACTCAGAGTAGCGGCAGTGGTATCTCGGTTGGTCTTATATGAATTGTGTTATTGCAGCATTAACAAAAAATAGGAACAAAATAAAATGAATAAAATGAGTATAAACACAATACTTCACTTTCAAATCGCTCAAATATATAATTGTTGCTCCTCTGAGCTCCTTCTCCAATTAATGGTTATTGCGTCTTGATGTTTTCCCAACAAACGGAGGGGCTTATGAGGAGCTTTATTTCATGTCAGAAATGCACTCGGAGGGGTTGACATTCCCCGTCGAGGGCCACCCCAACCAGAAGATTTTGCTTAATTTTTTATTCAAATTAATTTTCTTAAACTTTTTTGAATGTTTTTACGCCACTAGAAGAAGAGGAAGTACGCAATGCTAACCACTCGGCCACCGCGGTCGATCAATTAACTTGGGGCAGCTAAAAAAATAAAACTTAATGGTGTGTAAATGCTTGAACTTAACTAACAATAAATGGAAGCTCACTCTATTGAACTAAATAAGCTATTCCTTCCTTTTTGATCAGAACAGATAAAGTCACTGAAAAGAACCAGATGTCTTAGAAATCGGTCTAAATGTACAGTGGCCATGAAACTTTTAAGGCATTTGGCTTAAACATTGCCGCCAGCCTTGCAATATTACAATATTGCAACACGAATTGGAATGTTACAATTTTCATTTACTATATTAGAGCATTTTTATATGTATATGTTTAATAGTACGTGAAAATATGATAAGCTATTTCGAGATTGTGCTTTTTGTTTGTGCATCTTTGAATAATTATTAATTAAAACTAAATATATAATTGCTAATATACCGTGGTGTCTAGAGGGACACACGGGTCTGGAAGACCCGAATGAATATGTTCTAGCTATAAGAAACCGTGGTATCTAGAGACACACGAGTCTGGAAAACCCGAATGAATATATTATAATTACAAGAAACCGTGGTGTCTAGAGAGACACCCGGGTCTGAAGCCCCGAACGAATATACTCCAACTACAATAAGCCGTAGTGTCTAGAGGCGCACAAGGGTCTGGAGGACCCGACCGAATATAACTATTGTGTGCTAAAATAAACCTGGAATGCCGCTTTGCTGTCGTCTATTTACGGCTTTTATGAACCTCCTTGAAAAACCGTGGTTTCCATAGACCACAAGTTTTCCTATTTCTTTGTCTATTGAGGAAAAATGAGATTTAGTTTTATAAGGAGAAACATCTTGTTTGAGCTTCGAGTTAAGCTCACGATAGTAAAGTGCTTTAGGAACGAACTTTAACTACTTTGACGATGCTGTCGTTTTGTAAGTTAATGATTTTAAGAAATCTTATCGAAATATCCGTTGTTTTGCCTTGAAATCCGCGATGCTAATATTTGACAAATGACCTTACGGAACCAAAATATTCTGAACTAGGTTACCGATGAAACTATCCTCTCCCATTGGGACCCTGGTGGCCAGACAAGAAATGTGTGCATTGGAGGTTCTCCCTATGGTCTCTTGGTTGTAATGAAGCATTTGCTTCACCCTGACCAGTATAGCCTTGGAGTACGAATTACTCCCCATGAAGACATCTATTGAACTGCTTTGTAGAAGGCTTGGATCAACATTGGATCCACTAATTGTAAAAAAAGGCCCATAAATCAATAATTTGGCTGGATTGCGTGGCAACGCTTGACCAAAAGAATATTTTGATGAATCTATATGGAATAGTTCTATTTTTGTCAAAGATAGTTGTTGAACTTACGCGCTACTAATAAGCGCCAAACTAATGTTTTCTGAAAACCCAGTTTTATCAGAAGCAGTGTATTGAGAAGGCTTGCGATGAAGCTGAGTGACTGGAAGCATCGGTATCTGAAGAAACTCTAACGCATAAGTTATGGTGATCTACCATTGCATATCGATGATCGAGTGAGAAACTTCGGACAAAGTCTTAAAACATAAGGCTCTTTGGGAAATAAAATGCAATAAAGTGCCGACAGTTTGGATGCATTTGCTAACCTTGTTGGTATATCTTGAACAGTTGGTTTCTGAAATATTGTTAATAATAGAAATGAATTTACTGAATGGGGCTGAATATTTGACTATAAAATCCTCATCTCTTACTATTTGTTGGCATTTGTCATATGCCGCTTTTGTTTTCACCCATTGTTCAATTATTTCCTCTTTTAGTATTTCGAGAGAAATTTTTGAATATTCCCTTAGGTCGAGCTTGGTATCAGATTATACTATTTGATCCGAGTAGATATTAAAGGAGTTCAAGGCCGACATGTTGGCCTGATAGCAAACGAAAAAGTTCGAATTAATATTGAAAAATATTATCCGCGTTAATGTCCTGAATATTCTTCGCGAAGAAAGAAATCGAAATTTTGCTAAAAGTTCCAAGCAGATAATGTTTCTGTTGAATGAAACGAAAATAATTACTTTCAATTATTTTAGCGCAATGGCTTCAATTTCCTACTGGACAATGCCAATGTTTTCTACTGGGTTGGTTCTTTTCCAACTCCTTGGTTTTTTACCGCTCTTCACATTTGTATGTACATATGTATATACGCTAAGCTGCTATCATGAGCACCTGATGCAAAAAATGCATGAGAAAAAGGAATAAGAAACTTGGTAAATGGCTACTGATCAGATTATAGGTATGTACAAATGTACATACATGTGTCGCCAAAGCAAGAAATATATGAGATTGCTAAAGCATATAAAAAAATACACATATGTAGTTTTTATTATGCATATATATCTACATGATTTATATGGATTTATTTGCAAAAATTATATTATTATTGTTTAATAGGGATAATATACAAATTTTTTACCTAATTACATAAAGGAGCACAAGTAACGGTGGCCATCGGCTCCAAATGTTAATACATAAAGAAAAAGAACTAAAGTAAAACTTATATTATATTTTGCAAGATACATTCTACTAGAAAATTATATGTATATCTTTGAAATATTGTCATGAGATGGTGTAGTTAATGATTTACGATACTGATCAGTGGTCAAGTGATTATTCCTAATACTCTCTAAAGCCAAACAATTGTTGAAAATGTGATCGATGGACAAATTATTCCCGCAGAAAAGGCAATTTGGTAGTTGCACGTTTACTTTAACAACAACTATGCGTATGAGGTTGTCAAGAAAAAAAAATAACTATTGAAAATATTCAACACACTTAAAGGTGGAGTGGGAAAAAACTAACTAATCAAAAGAACTCCGTAAACGAAACAGACGTCTTATCTGTGCGAGAGTTAGTCTAAGACATTTGTAAAAATTATAAGAGGATATATGTATATGAAGATACCTATGCATCAAAAACTGGAAAAATGTAATCCGAAAGTGTCGAGCTAAAATTCAATGCGACTTGATGTGACTTGCTTTTAATTTTCTATGTACGTACATATGTACATCTTATATACCTGTGTAAATTGTCAAAAAAATTGTTGATTTTCTAAGCTCTTACTTAAATTTAATTTTTTTGCGCTATTCTTGTATCACGCACTTCTAACAGAGCTCAGCGAATTTCCACGCACCTGAATGTTGTGATGACTTCAAATCTTCATGTGGCTATTGTAACTGCATTTGCCGGGCTTTTATAAGAGTATAATGTTTGGTTGTTGGAATTTGGCGAAGGTTAATGAGGTAGGTGAAGCTCTATCCGGCTCGAAAACCAAATGTTGGGACCGTGGGCCTCAATAATCAGAACGCCGGCACGAACCGTAGATGTACAAAACAATTCAAGCAATATAATGAACCATTATAATATGAGGAATTTATAACTTGCTCTGATCATGCTATCTTATTTTGAAGTAATCTTGATAATACTTTTACCAAAAATGTTGCAAAGCAATATTTAATATGATAATGTCCAATTAAAACGCAAATCTATCTGAAATAGTAAAGAAGTTATCAATAACTCAAAAACTAAATCTGTCGGAAAAAAATGTTTACTTTATTTGTTCGGTTTATTTTGCATCACATGTTTCATAAAGGGTGATTTTTTAAGAGCTATAGGAAAGTTTAAAGAAAAAACACATAAACTTCAGAAAAATTCATGATTTTTGAGCTATTATCTTTTTGGCAACGCTGGTTTAAACAGCTGGCGCACGCGTCGTGTTTTCGCGCGCGCTTCGGAGATCATTTTTGGCTTAATGGGTGCGTAAATAAGCAGAACTGTCAATTTTGGAGTGAAGATCAGACAGAAGTATTACAAGAGCTACCAATGCATCCAGAAAAAGTCGCAGTTTGGTGCAGTTTATGGGCTGGTGGTATCATTGGCTCGTAGTTCTTCAAAGATGGTGCGACTCGGGAGGTAATTATAAATGATGAGCGTTACCGTGAGGTAATATCAAACTTTTTCGTTGCCCAAAGTGCAAGAGCTTGACTTGCATAACATGTGGTTTTAAGAGGTGCCACATGCCACACATCACGTGTAATAATGGACTTATTGAGGCGCGAGCTCAGCGAACATTTTATTTCACGTTCAGAACCGGTCAATTGGCTGCCTAGATCGTGCGATTTAAAACCTTTAGACTATTTTTTGAAGGGCTACGTTACATCGCATGCCAAAATGCGACGGAGTCACGGTCAACATTTGCATGAAATAATCTTTAAACATTAAATTATATGGACCTTATTATCAATTCAAATAAATATTTCAGACATCCTTCGGAAATTTATGTGTTTTTTTTAACTTTCCTATAGCTCTTAAATTATCACCCTTTATATAAAGAGCCTCTCTGTTGAGAATGTCAAGTTCTCCGAGTGTATTTCTGACATGAAATAAAAGCTGCTCATAGAAATCCATTGGGCGTTCGAAAGCGGCTTAAAATAAATTGCAGATAACTCCATTTGGTGGGAAAAAATACGAAATCGGTAAAAGTTTGCGCCATTTTTATACGTCTTATAATGTATATGAATCCTGTCATGTCATAGATCATATTCACTGTTACGTTTCAAATTTTATTTATAAAAAAAGAGCAAGGCTTGGCTTTCTTTCGCATATCATTTTTTATCACAAGCCTTTATAATGTTTACCGTTCATTCAGTTTTCTTTTTCAAGTGTGTTACATTTTTAGAACCCTGCACATATTCATTATCATTATTAGTGCTTTCGATTACAAAACAAATATTTTTATTTGTACAACGTTTTTTGTTTTTGTTCTTACTTATGAAATTACTTTAAGTTTGATCACAAATTCAATTCAAATTGAGACAATAGTAAATAAATTTCAATAAAAAAATCAATACTATCAGCTCTGCTATTTTTCCTAATATGAAAACGAACACCTAGAATGTTGCAAGAGTAACAGGTTATGCGGTGCCGTATACGAAAAAATAAAATTGAAAAATTACATGGGGTCCAATACCTCTGCGTGTCGTAATGTTTTGAATTTTACATTAAATATAATCACTTTTTACTTGGTAATATAATGTTTAAAAATTCCCATCCATATATTTCAGATTGTTTGAATTGAAAAGAGGTTTCGATTTTAAGGAGAATTCTAAAAGATAAACAAACATGGAATCTAATAATGAATCAAAGGTAAGTTCTAGCAAACGTAGCATCAATTGCGGGCAGCTTTTATTAATTTGCTTTTTGCTCCTTAAACGTTTGCATGCTCCTTCACTCATAAAAAACTTTATACATGTTATCGTATGGCAGCAAACTTGTTGTCCAAATTGTTAAAAAATCTACAAGATGAAAAATACAACAAAAAAATTTACTTATACATATTTCTACTTAATTTAATACATCAAATATTCTAGAAAAAAAAAGTGTCAATATGCACACATATTTACGAATATTAGTATGTTCAGCAAGCCGTTAAGCAGCAACTATTGTTACTAAATTTTACTGAACCGCGATCAGTAAGGCAGAAACCCTGTTCGAGAGGGCACAATTTTGACAATTAAGTTGGAGGGAAACTGAAATTTGTGCTGGAAATATTTCAACCATTAGCATTATCAAGCAAAGAAACATACGATTTATGATCGTAACAAAATAAAAATTACTTAGCATGAAAATTAAATTAAATATGAATTATTTAATGTAAATGCTGTACTAACAAAAGAAGGAAGCAAATATATTTTTTTTAATATATATACATATATATATATTTCAACGTAAATATGGTGGCAGTGTAATGCAATCATCTCCCGCACGCTACACAATAACTATGGAGGAGTTAGAAGTTAGGAGTGTTGAAGGTATAGGAATATAATATTTATATTTTTATTTTTTTGTACAATGCACGCCTGGATTCCTATAATGTACTAGAGAGCATTGTCGACCAAAATGAGCCGCAAATCGTTCGGAAGAAAGATTGCTGTTGTCGTCACAATGACTGTAATCCATTCTTAAGCTAGCGAAAGCGAGGACGATGTCCAGAATTAAATGTTTGTCACTTTCGAAAGGACAAGTAAAACTCATGCTGTATATGCTTGGATTTTATGCCAAAAATTATAAAATATTCAGTCATCAATACGGGCTTATATAGAAAAGACAGCGCTAAATTGTGGTAATTCAAGTTTTACATAAAACTAACAAATTTAAAATTCCATGAAATAGCTAATTTTCTTAACCAAACTTTTGTAAATGCTTGGCAGCTGAAAACAATGTAAGTTTCACATAATTTCGTTACTGATTTTTCCCTCTAAACAGAGGTTATATTGTCAAAATCAAATATTCATTCTTCTTACACTTACGTATTTTATAAGTTGAAATTGAAAATATTGACCAATTATATAACCTAGTATTCTGGTTTCATTTATTTCTTCTACCTTGTTAGGAGTAGTTTTCGAGTGAAAACTTATGTTTGTTGCATATGAAATATATTGAACTAACACATCGAAAATCATTAAACAACTCACCCCAATCAGTCTCTATACTAGTTTTCCTGATATTTTTTGTCATAACAAAGTGTATGAATTTAAAATAAAGCAAAATACGTTGAAAGACGAGTTTCAAATCTTTAGTTCATACATTCAGGGCTTTCAACATATATTGTGTCCTAAATAATCATGATCTTGATATGAAAAGAATAGGTAAGAAAGTCATATTGATTTAAAGGATGATGTTGTTAAATTTCACAAAACTTCAGTATGCGCTACTGTGCGAAGTTACGTACGTTTGCATCCAGAATCATATACTTACTTGAAGGTCAAATTGAAAATAATACGTATTTAGTTGATATTTTCAAACGCTGGGGCTTACATTTGTACATTGTTGTTCGTAAAAGCATTTTTTTTTTAATTTACAGTGTCAGTAAGACAAGAATAGGAAATAGCTCCGTTCTAGCAAAAATGTGTTCTTAAAGAACTGAGGTTTGCTTAACAATTCATTTTCCAATGAGGTTGACTTCATTTCAGGAACGATTAATAGCGTTTTGAATTGCTACATAAATCGTAAAGAATTATTTTCTGATTATTTACTTTAGGATTTTCATTGCAAATCTATTACATCAATGATTTTAAAAACTGTCGTAAACGATGCTGGATATAAACTTTCACCGCTTTAATTTTGTAAAATATATTTTTGCTTACAATTTTTTTTATTCTACTGTTAAATGCAGCAACTTACCATTTTGTTTCCAGTTTCCTTATAAAAATGTTAACAAAAACTGTCAGATATGTCAACGAAACACACTTTTATGTCCACAGTCAGTAAAACGCATTGTCAACGTGCTTCGATGTTGGTGTGAACAAGGTTATAATTGGTGTAGGCACCGTTTACGCGTTATAACAGAATCAAAGAAAGCCCACCAGCAGCTTTATCTTTTCCAGCTGTTCGCTGCGAAATGTGGACACCAGGATAGACGAGGTCTTCCCCATGGGATCACTCTACCGGAGTGGAGGATTTCCTACATCAACGAGTACTGCATCGAAAGCCATTCTGTGAAAAATCTATTTTTTCAAAAAAAATTTTCGAGCAGTGGACCGGCCTATTCAAAAAAACTCATATGCATGTTTGTAACGGGTGTTCCTTCCGCGAAGTAAACCATGGACTGACCTCAACAAAAAAAAAACGTATTTATGACTGGATATACATGAAATATGGTACATAGGTGGCCATTTGTCCATATGGACAATGGTCTGATCTATTCGAAAAAGTCATATTTGTGGTTCGATTGACTTGAAATTCGGTACATACACGTATGTAGCTTTATGCTTAGATTAACAGGGAGTGAACCAGAAACTGACTTCTCTTTGCAAAGTGGGCCGGGGATTGACCTATTCAAAAATTCTTCATTTACTTGAAATTCAGTACATAAGTGGCCTTTTGATTAGATTAACAGGAAGACTACTCTTTTCTCCGAAAAGTGGATCAGGGTCTGCCGTATTGAAAAACATCTTAGTTATGGCTCGATTTACTGGAAATTCAGCACATGGGTGGCTTCTTGCCTATATCAACAGGGAGACTCTCCCTCTCTTCGGTAAGTGGCCCAGGGACTGATATGTTCAATTGAAATTCAGTTCGTTGGTCGACCTTTGCTTAGGTTAACAGGAGGACTATTTTTCTCTCCGGAAAGTGAACAAAGCACTGGGCTAATCCAAAAAAATCTCTCCATTTACTTGAAATTCTGTGAACACAAGATTTTATTGCTTATTGTTTCTCTATATTTTTTTACAATATTTATAACTATATCTAAATATACATACGAACCGTATTAGCTCCTAAAAATTTATCTCGCATTGTAGGCGGCTAAAAATAGAATTTCCGTCCCTAAATTTGTTCGAAGAACATTCAAAAATACCTATATCACCAATCACAGGAGGAGCTCAGCCTAAAATCGGTATAGTGGTTAAAGTTATCGGTACGAAGGCGCAACCAACTCTAACAGCAGTTAACAGTGAAAATTATCGAATAATTTATATATTTTCGATTATAGATTACGAAGTAGATAATAGTTTTGTTGCTGTATTAAAACAAGATTTGTCATTATAGGAAACTAATGAAAGATTCGAGGCAGCTAAGATCGTTGTCTTTTGTAAAAATAATTAGTTTTAAATCTAATCAAATAATTGATTAAAGGACTAAAATAATTAATATCTTACTCTAATTCTCTTCCACTATTAGGTCTTCCACTTCTACAGCCACTAGATGGTACTGTAACGAATACTTTCAAAGCTAGAATGATTTCATCCATTCAAAAGACATAACCTAGCCAGCGCAGCCGCTGTGTTTTCATACGCTGAACTATGTCAATATCAACGAATAGCTCGCACAGCTCATCATTCCATTGTATGCGGTATTCACCGTTACCAATGTGCATAAATCGTTCGTAAAACTTTTCTTTTGAAAAATTGAAAGAGACCGAATCATCAGATGTTGACATCGTCCATGCTTCTGCGCCATACAGTAGGACAGGTATGATACGCGACTTGTAAAGTTTAGTTTTCGTTCGTTGCCTATTCAGTCGAACAGTGTCAAACGTGACGTGGGAGCCAAGTCGCGAGCGCGATGAGTGTTTGTTTGACGACAAGTAATATTTCGTATTGTCCTCGTTCACTAGAGGTATTCGTTTCGTTTCTTTATCAAGCCTGGATCGTGAAGATCTTTTTTTGTCTCCTATAAAATCATTATATATGAGTAGTACGCATTGTACTTACCTTCTAATTTATCGTTCTTCATCAAATATAGGAATGACTTCAGTAGGGGAATTATCTATCGTATTATAACGATTCTCGGATCGTTAAACTGACTCAACCATAATTTTTGATATAAGTGAAGTAATTATTAAAGAAAACTACAAGGCCTGGTTGGTTGCATGAATTGAATATTTTTGTTACACGAAAAAAATGGTAGAAGTGACAGCTGCTTCGGAGATCACCACACCTTCTCATCAGACTTCTTATGGTTCGAACCAACGGACCCTGACTTAACAGACGAGTGTTCTACCACTGCGCCAACATCAGCCATATAATCTATTGTTGTATTATTCAATTCACTATTAACCAACAACTATTAAGTGCGCCAATTTAGCCGCTATGTTCTTAACAGCTTAATTGAATTCATACAAACAACCAGTCCTTGTAGTTTACCTAATGTTTATACCAAAATTATTTTATAACAAGGCCGCAAAATGACTTTACCATAATTTTAACGCTTTCGCTATTCTCTATACATTATAACGATTTTCGAGTCGTTTAAATGACTTAGCGATAATTTTAACGGTATTCGCTATGCCCTAACATGGTATAACGATTTTCGGATCGCAAAGAAGACTTAGCGATAATTTTAACCATATTCGCTATAATATTAAATAAAACTTAGTGATAATTCTAATGATTTTATATTCGGTGTACTTATTTCAACGAAGTTCGCTATCGCTGTTGTCATAAGCTTCCCGACAAATCGCTTACTAAGCGACGAATATTTTGGAGTTGTTAGCGATATCGACAAAAAAAATGGTTATTTCATTAAGGTAAAGATAAAGTAAAGTAAATCGGGAGATTAGTTATACAAAAATTAAAATAAAATTGTAAACAAAAATGGCTTTTGAGTATTCGGCATCCATTTTATCCCATGATAAGGAGGTATTT